CCGGCCGGGGCGGAGCGAGGGCTCGGTCCGGGGAAGCTGCCCCCTTGGACCCTCCCGGCCGCTCCCGGGAACCGCTGCTGGCAGCAGCACCCGAGGGCATTAGGGACGCGGTCCGGGAGCCGGCTTTTCCCTCTGGTGAGGCTGTTGGCGTGACCTCGGGAAAGTGTCGGTGGGTGGTAGGAGCGATGCTGGAAAGGTGAGGGTGCAGAATGGTACCCAGGCGGCCGGACCTCGGGAATACAGACAGAGGTCTGAGGCACAAAACAGCGAATGTACTTTTCTGCTTAAGACCGAGCAGACCACGGGACGTGCTAAAAGCATTTATTTTTCTCCTTGCAAGTTGCCCAGTGACTTGTTAAATCCCAACTTCATACCCTCCCAGGCAAAGGGGAGAAGATGCTGCTGCAGCTTTAGATACACACAAGAAACGTTTCTTTGAATGCAGGTCATGCTTTATTCTCAAGTCTGCTTGCCACCATTCCAGCCTAGCACAGGGACCCTGCCAGGGCGTAAGGTACCAAAATAAGTTACATTAGGAAGGATTACAAAGTATTATTTGCTGGGAAACCCACCAGCACCCATCTCCCCTGTTTCAGTAACAGGATATCCTGCTACCATGGCAGAGCAACTCGCAGCAGCAGCTGCCTCATGTGCCAGCTTCCCAATGGACTTAAAACCAGAGGATTCCCAAGGTCATATATCCCACTAGGAAAGAGAATCTGCAAATCCCACGCTTAAAAGAAAACCCCACCTTGCTAAGGGTTTCTCTGTGAAAGAAAAAGCACTTGGCTGATCCACAGGGAAAAATCTTTTGAGAAGCAGCCTCTTGCCCCCACACCGCTCCCAGCCTACTGCAGGGCTGGGCCTCGCCGGAAGCACAGCAGGCACAAGGAAGTTGTGTCTGTAATGTGTATTTTTAAACTTGTGGAAGGAGGGAAACAGTATCAGAGGTCAAGCGCATCATCCTCTCAAGCTGTCTGCAGCTCCTGTGAATTAAAACCAAACCCAACATTAAAACTAAGCTGAGAGCACTTCTCTGCCACAGCTTGTCTCAGCAAGAGTCATTCACACATACAGCCGGGCTGACTTCAGAGCCTGAATCTTCCTTTTCAGAGCAGCAGCATGATTTAAGAAGTAATAAAAATCAAGATAAGGAGTTGCCCCACCTTGCTTATCAGCTCTGCTTGCAAGCTACATCTTACTGTAAACTCAGCCTGGGACAGCGAGAGAGCAGGAGGCAGTCTTGGCACAACCGGTGGCTGGACACCGTGAAAAGGAAGTGCTGTTCTAGCCAGGGAGCCTTGGCCAGAAGAGCTGGAGTTTTTCAGAGATCTTCCTCCGGTGCGCTGGTTTTTACCTCCTTTGCAGCCAGTTCCGCTTCTGTGTCTTTCTCTGCCTTCTTTTCCAGCTTCTCCAGCACATCACTCTCTTCCTCCAGGATCCTGTGTACTCCCTTCGGTTCTTCGGGTGTCTTAGCCACCTCCTCTGATGAGGCAGCCTTTTCCAACACGGGTGATTTTGTATCAGTCACCATCTCTTCCTTCCGCTGCTTTCTGCTGTCCAGGGGCACTTTAGCTATCACCCTGATTTTTACCTCCTTTGCAGCCAGCTCTGCTTCTGTGTCTTTCTCTGCCTTCTTTTCCAGCTTCTCCAGCACATCACTCTCTTCCTCCAGGATCCTGTGTACTCCCTTCGGTTCTTCGGGTGTCTTAGCCACCTCCCCTGATGAGACAGCCTTTTCCAATACGGCTGATTTCATATCAGTCACCATCTCTTCCTTCTGCTGCTTTCTGCTGTCCAGTGACACTTTAGCTATCGCCCTGAAGGGACCCACGAGCCAGTTCAGAGGGGTATTCCCAGTCACATACTCAAACAGGTCATCTAGGGACCTTCGGGCTTCTGCCACATGGGCCTGGCTCTGGGTCAGGGTGGTGCTGGACAGGTCCTGGAAAGACACAGCACTGGAAAAAGAACGGTGGAGCTTGTGGATGTTTCGAGTGGCCTGATACACAGCTTCTTGGATGTTGCTGGGGAGGCCTTGGATGCTGGCTTTCAGATTCTCATAAGCAGGTTGTAGTTGCTGGGTGATGATACGCAGCATAGCTAGAGTCCGGGACTCTACCTGCTGGGAAAGAGACACAGCTCAGTTACTAGAGCAGAGGAGATGTACACTATCCAGAAGAGGCCTGATTAAATAAGTCCTTCTACGGGTACCTCTGCTTGGGAGGCAGTTTTAACTTGGTTTCCTTTGGGTTGGGTCAGGCTCCAGTCCACCCACAGCTGATGGAGCTTCTCCTGCCCATCCAGAAGCTTCTGGCCAACCTCCTGTTTCACAGATTCAATCTGATGAGAAAAGCAAGAGGAACAGCTGTATTGCAAGCACACACAGTCAGAGAAGCACAAGCACTTCCCTCCCAGGGAGGGATCCAAGAGGATATGCAGCTGGTACAGGATGGGGGAAGAGCTTCCATCTGGGTAGCAGGGCAGAAAGACTACAGACAGCAGGAAGAAGGAAAAAAGCATGTTTGTACCAGTTTTATTGCCAGCTGTAATCGTGAGAGAGTATCCTGGGTGCTTTGCTTCACGCGCTGCAGCTTGCTGAGGGACTGCTGGTAGGCTCGGTGGCGGACTTTGTGAGAGAGGGAGCCCAGGCGCACAAAGTAACTCTGCTGCTGTTTCTGCTCCTCCACAGAAGCCACACCAAACCCCTTGACAGTGGTGGCCAGTTGACCTGAAGGAAACAAGAAGAGAGATGCAGCTGTGCTCCACTCCCCCAGCTGCGAGCAGGGCAAAGAGGTAAGATCACCCGCTGCAAGACACGAAGGCTGAAGCTTGCTGTGTCAACTGTGGCGGTTTGTAGTTGCTCAGGTATTAAAGACAGGCTGGTCCCTGCTCAGTGCGTTCTCTTCAGATAAGCAGACTTGGCAGGTTGAAGCACACACCCACGTGTTTATTTGCATTGAGGCTGATGGGCAAGGACCAGGTAGCAAATGCTTGAACTCTGTCCCATACCATGCGGCGAGTCTGTGTTGACAGCCAGCCAGCTTGGTGGCAGATTCAGAGCTGCTTGTCCACTTCATAAGATGAGTCTTGCAGAGTCAGGTGCTCTCTAGTCAGGCAGGAAAGGGTTTGTACTTACAACCGCCAGCTAAGCATTTTCTCACCTAGTTCCTCCTCCGTCATGGGGAGGTAGTGATCCACCAGATCTTCTGATATACCCAGGACAGATTCTACACCACCCGCCACTGCTTGGCTCACTGCCTTGGCTTTGCTTATGCTGTTGGTCACCACTGAATTGGTCTTCTCCACTCCCTCCTGGATAGCCTCTCTGCTCTGCTCCAAGGCTGCATTTATTTTGCTAGTAATGGTGCCATATGCAGCATCTAGAGCTGTACTGACTGTAGAAGTGACCACTGATTTGGTCTTCTCAACACCATCTTGGACAGCCCCTTTGGTTAGGTCCATTGCTTCAGCCGCTGTGTTGGTCACAAGATCCTTTGCACCCTGGGCAGCCCCTACAGCAGCAGTAATAGTAGAAGCAACCGCTGACTTGGTCAGTTCAACGCTGTCCTCCACCATGTGTTTGCTGAGGTCCACTGCTTCGGTCACCTTGTTAGTCACAAGGTCCTTGGCACCCTGGGCGGCCTCCACGGCGTTGACAATGGTCGAAGCAACCGTAGACTTGGTCAGTTCAACGCTGTCCTCCACCATGTGTTTGCTGAGGTCCACTGCTTCGGTCACCTTGTTAGTCACAAGGTCCTTGGCACCCTGGGCGGCCTCCACAGCATTGACAATGGTGGAAGCAACTGCAGACTTGGTCAGTCCAATGCTGTCCTCCACCATGTGTTTAGTGAGGCCCACTGCCTCTGTCACCTTGTTAGTCACCAGGTCCTTGGCACCATGAGCAGCCTCCACAGCGCTGTTAACAGTGGAGGTGACCACTGACCGGGTCAGCTTGACACTGTCCCCAACAACATGCTTAGTGAGGTCCACAGCTTCAGTCACTTTATCAGCCACGGCTTCTTTTGCCTCACAGGCAGCACCCATAGCAGAGGTCACTTTGGTGGAAACCAGCTGCTTGGTGTCGGAGATGACCTGCAACAGGGAGAAGCAGAGAAAGATCCTATTTCAGAAAAAGAAAAGTTTTTCCTTCCCCGAAGTAGCTTTTCCATATGGCTAAATTGGGCTTGCAGTCTTGTGGGAGAGCTGGGGACCTACATGGACACACATTTCCATGTGCTGAAGGAATACCTCCAGCTTTCGTCAGCTAACAGTGCCTCCTCTAGCCCATTCCAGAGACTGACCTGACAAAGACAGTGCTGCTGGAGCTTATTTCCTCATATTCTTCTGGACCCATAACAGTTCCATCAGGCAAGAGATCAAGTTGTGGCTTTCCTGGGAAAAGCCTTCACTTTACCTTATCTGCTGGCTGCTGAAGAAAGGGCAAGTTCTCCTCCAGCTGATCCAGCCCCTTGCAGGCATATTCATTTACGAGGGCAACTAGAAAAAGCAACAGGTACCAGTTTATTCCTCAGTTTGGAGAGGGGTTTTTGATGCTACAGTGGCCAATTCATGATACAGGCATGAAAGCAAGCAAGTAAAAAAAAAAAAGAATAATTTGCCATTGTGGGGGTGCGTCTTGTTAAAAAGTGAACAAACCCAGCAATTCAGCAGGTTCAGATTGTCTCCTTTTTGTCTTCCCAGCTTGCTAGCTGTCAGCAGCACATTGCTCCAGCTGGGATGCAATACTGGCCCTTGGTGGGTAGGGCCAGTTTAAAGGATTGGAAAGTGCTGGGATGATGCAGACTGAGCTGAATCCTAGATGGACACTGCTACTACCAGTTGGGATGCTCATAACTTGGAATGATAAAGGAGGTAGTTTTTACTTAGTGACTTTAAGAAGCCCCAGACAAGAGGCCAAACTTTGCGTCTGCCAGTAACAGGTTCATGTCCCTGCAATTCAGTGGGTTCATTGAGCAGCTGGGTGGAAGACTGTGCTGTGGCTATCTAGAACTTTAAAGCCCACCCAGTCCCACCCCCTGCCATGGGCAGGGACACCTTCCACTAGACCAGGTTGCTCCCAGCCTCATCCAGCCTGGCCAGAGATGGGGCATCCACAGCTTCTCTGGGAACCTGTCCCAGTGCCTCCCCACCCTCTCTGGGAAGAAAGGAAAGGTGCTCCAGGAGATGGATATCAGCCAAGAGGCACATGAAACTCCCCTCCCCACCTATTCCCCCCCATGTAGAAAGGGTTGCTCTAGCCTCCTCACTTACTCTGTGGCTCAAGCTGGTTCAGGATGGGCTGTGCCCCGCCAACCACGCTGCCTACTGCGACAGCAGCCACAGTCTCAGCCACATTGCAGACACCACTGAGGTAAGGATGCTTCTCCTTGGTGTAGTTGTAGGCAGAGGAAACCAGGTTGAATGCAGAGTTGAGCAAGGGCAGGCTGGTTACCCGATCGACAGCGCTCTAAAACCCAAGAAAAGTGACATTAGAGACCCAGCCTCAAGCTGGCGAGCGAAGACAAACCTTGTGTCTGTCCAGAAAGGTCCTAAGGGGACATCCAGTCCGTCTCCTCATCTTAAACTCCAGGTTGAAGGGACTCATCCAAAGACCGCTAGCAAGTCAGTGACAAGCCAGGATTAAGAGTTTGAGCTCTGGGCTCCTGAATTCTGAGTCATACAGGGCTTCAGCACCAAACCCAGATGTGGAAATTGGGCCTATGATGACTCGTGTTTCAGACTTGGATTACTTGAGCCAGCCCTGAAGTACTCATGAGCAAAAAAGTTAGTTTCTGTATTAACTGAGCTTAGATTTAGCCACAGCTTCAGATGGTTAATCCATCTGCCACTCCCAGCCTGGTTTCGAGGTGCTGACAGAAGGTAGTTTATCAGCATACCTGCCAGCAGGTAGTTTAACTGCTGCATGTTGGAGCACTGCCTGCCCCAGCACCTACCGCTTGCTGCTGTTCCTCAGCCTTCAGCAGCTCATTTTTTGTGCTCTTTTCCGATGCCATACTGAATCCAGCTGCAGCTGAAAGGAAAAACAGGAGTCAGTACAACTTGATTTCCCCCAGTGACCTCAAGTGTTAGCAAAGCTGGTGAAAAGCAGGGGGCAGAGGCAGGATCCATCATTCAGCACATCCCAGGAACATTAGTATGGCATCACTGATCTTTCTGGCCAGGGTGTGAAGACACTTGAGAAATTCCATGATTTATGATGTGCAGATATTTATGTAGGACAAGGACTGTACCCAGTCACCCCCCTCAATCCCCCCAAAACCAAATACTAAAAAAAAATAACCATCCTACTTATTTTATTGCTGATAACATTTGACTGGCTTTGAAGTTACAGGTCAGAAGTGGGTGAGAGCTACCGTATCTGTCACGCGTTTGCTCTGCTGGAGGTACTGCTGGTTTGGCTTCCCACTGCTCACACTCCTTGCTGGCCAAGGGCTGGGATGCTCGAAGGGAAGATGAGTCCTGCAGAAGCGAGGCTAATGGTGGGCATCCCTGTGTTGTCTCAGTCGTGAGAGTACTGTCCTGACATGCCCAGCTGAAATCCAGCTGCAGGAGGGCTTGCAGGACAGTAGGGTAAGTAATTTTTTTGGTTTAAATTTCAAGATGTGGTAAGGTCAGTTTAGTAATGGAGTTTAAAACCAAAAATTCTTATTTTGAAAAATATGTCTGAAGTTGTTTGATACCCTTTAAGGGGGAAAAGTCCTCAGGTTGCCCCCACTTTGTCTGAAGTGGAGATGGGGTTTGCACTGGTTGGTCCATTTTCCTCAGGAGGAAAATGAGACTTCAGAAAGAGACTGGCAGGACTTCAGCTCCCTCCAGAAAGGTTCCAGGGCCAGAGATGCTAAAACAGCAATAGGCATATTTTACCTTCCTAAAAGAGTTCTGGGTTCTTAGCCCCTTTCCTCCGAAGGCTCACTCCCCAGAATCCTTTGCAAAGGGCACCGAAATGGGGCCTATTTTAGAGTCAGCCCACGGTGCCTCTGTTCATGGGGAAGATGAAAGTTCTGCACTACCACTGCCAACTCCAGCAACACCGTCAGTCTCACAGCTTTGGGAAGGATATGAAAATCCTTCAAAGTTTTGCTAGGAGCGCGAGCCAGGATTCACAGCTGCAGCAGTCTGGCTGGCTACCTTGAGACTTGCATTCCCATCCTACTGCCCACCTAGCCAGGAAATCTCTCCACACATCCTGTGAAACCAAGGCTCAGGAGTATTCTCGCCACATAATGGGATGAAAGGAGTTAAAGTATAAAAATTACACAGTATCTTGAATGTGTATTGGCTTCCTTGGCCTAGACCTAGGTGGGCATCTGGACACCCCAGTATCGTGTGATGCATCCAGGATTACTTCTCAGCCTTAGTCAGGCGCAGCAGGGATGCAGCATCTGCTTTTCCCTCCCTCGCAGTTAATTCCTATTCTTAGGACTGCTTTGGCATTTTCCAATGGAAAACCCCCAAACCATTGTCTTGTTTCTTGTGTTCCTTGACTTGTGCAAGGTTTTCATTTGGCTGCGGAAACAGGAACAGAGAGCTGGGGAAGGAGTAGTGAAACAAGTACTAGCGCTGGACTATGTCTAGAGCTAGGGCAGGCCTCGGGAGGCAACGCAGCGATGTTTGCCAGGCTGCCAAGTTCACCGTGCAGTTAGTCAGCATTTTGGTGAGACTCGAGCAGGGCCGGGGTGCAGAGTGCTACCCGTCTGCAGCAAAGGCTGTCGTGAGAGGTGGGACCTTCAGCCTCCCAAGCAAGGGGCTCGAGCCAGCGCTCTTCGGCACATTCCTGGTAACCACCCTGCCCGGGGGGGGGGATGCCTAATTTCACAGCACAGCGAAAATACAGCTTGAACTTTATCAGTCTGGGGGAACTTCTGGAAAACTGGTGCAAACAAAAAGCAAGGCTTGAGCATGAAATCACAGTCCCAAAGTCCACGGGGTTTGCTGGGTTAGTCAGTATTCCTCTTGCACCGCTTTAGGGCAAGTTTGTTGGGTTTTTTGGAAGACAAGTGGGCTGAATCAGTCTGCAGCCCTGTCACAGGGCTAAGCACAACTATTTCAACACCGTAATTGAGCAAAGGGGTTGTTTGTAATTTTACTTCTGGACAGGTAGGAAAAACCTCAAACTGCAGCATCTTACTGGCCTTGGCATCAGGGTAAGCACGCAGAGACGCTGTGGCAGAGAAGAGGAGAGGACTGGTTGCTAGCTTAAGTCAGGAGTAACTCCTTGGTTGATGTAAGAACAGTAGAAAGTTAGAATCAGCCTCTGAAGTACTAGAGGCCCGTCTTAATTATGGATGCAACTGTGTCAGTCACAATCCCTGCAGCACAGTCGTGTTTGGACATGGTTTGCTCTCCTCTCTGTAGGAGGAATTGGGGTGTGTTGCAACACCAGTATTTGTAGTGTGGCCAAGTCTTCATGAGCCCACAGCATGGGGTGTTTTTTTTTTTCTTTCTACTCTCTCCCAGGCAAAAGGGCTGAGCAGCCTTTATTTCACTTCAGAGGTTGCAGGACAGCACAGTGCTTAGCAGCTCTGGGTCAGCTCTGTTGGAATCCTTTGGAAAAGGGCACAGCTTCAAGCCAGGGTAGTTGCAAGAGGGAGTCCCACGAGTGGAAGGACCAGACAAAAGAGCAGAAACAGCATCACCATGTGCTTTGGTTGCAGTTTGCTTCGTATGAAAATGACCATCAGATGATTTCATACTATTGCTACATCAGGAATGATAGGTCACTGCTGGAGAAAGTCCTTGAAACTGGTGGTTTCAGAAAGATGGAACTCTGCAGTGCACATTTTTAGCATGGCACAATAGCTTAACTCTGAGCATTGCCCAACGGGGCCCAAGTCTGAGGTCAGCGAAACAGCAAGGGCAGTGGCACCAGAAATGCCAAGCTGCTGTCAGTTTTCCCAGCTGGTACAACATGCTGGGCTGGCAAAAGAGCAGATACTTTCCTCCTGGCGCAGGCACCTCCTTGATTTCTGCCACTCTGACAGTGACCAGCACACATAACGCTAGTTCTTTAACTTGTGTAAGGTTTGTTCTTCCCGTGGAAAGAAGCTCTGCCCCATGAAGACAGCCTGCTGTCAGCTTGTCCTGTGGACAGAGGTGGGATGGATCTTGTTCAGGAAGCTTTTCTCCCCTCCAAATGTGTTTTACCTTGAGGAGACAGCCTGAGCCACAGCTAGCATGCCTGGGTCAGCGGCCTAACAAGTGACTCCTTAATGACCATTTAGGAAAAAGACATCTAAATTTAGTGCTTCAGATATGAGCAGGGAAGGATAATCTAGGCAGAGGTATTAATTTGTGGTTAAATCACTGGCATGCTTTCCAGATTTGCCACGGATACCCCAGTTACCACAGACGCAGTGGGCAGAAGTGGGTCACAGGATGCCTGCCGCAGCGGGGAACGGCACTGCCCGCAACCGAGGGAGCTGTTTGCAAACCCCTTGCAGGCAGAGGTGGTTTTAGGAGGAGGAGCAGGTCATTTTCAGCTTTGACCTTAGGACAGTAGTTTCAGAATTGCTGGCAGAGGTGCCCATCTGACCTCTGGAAAAGCCATCAGCATTAGGGAATCTCAAAGATTAAAGCCACTTTTGCAGACGGTGGCAGGGTTTTTCCCTGGAAATGGAAACTAAGCGCCATACCGGTGGCCATTACTAGGTCGGTAACTCCTTGGGACAGTGAGTGTACACGCTATCCAAGCTACTAGAATTTGGAGCTATTTTTGGAAAGAGAGAAGGAAGTTTAAAGCAGCCTCTCAGCTTTCTAGTACTTTCCACTGACCAGTTTTGACACACAGGTCTGGCCTCATGAAAGAGGGATGCTGTAACTTGCAGAGCAAGCAGCACACATTTTCATCTGGACGTTTCAGCAGAACCAGCTTTCATAATTGAAATCCTTGGCAGCCATACACAGTTTCAGGCAGTCACAACCACGTTTAAGAACCCTGTTAGTCCCGAGAAACACGAAGCTTGTTTGCCAAGTATCCCTCCAGCCAGGTGGCAGAGCTGCAGCCTCCCTCTGTAGAGACACACCGCTCTTGAGCAATGGAGGGGTTACCTTGTCACTCAAGCCACCCCCTTCGTTAACACCATTATCATGCCTACACCAAACGATCATGTGAAATAGCTACAGGCAGGTCTGGCAGCACTGTCAACAGGAAGGGAATGCCCAACTGATCCGTCTGCCTCCTGAGGCACGCACAGCTTCCCCCAGCAGCAGCACAGCTCAGCCGTGATGCCCAGGGTGCACATCATGTGCATGGCCCTGCGTGGCTGGGCGGGAGCGTCACCTCCTGGGCACCCCTCACACAGCTTTGGTCTTCGCCAGACAACAAGCAGAGAGCTTTCAGACCCAAAGCAGCTCAGAGACCCATGGTGTAACCAAGAAGTCATCTCAGGGCTAGGAAAAAGCCTTCAGGGAAGGGTTTGAAGCTTTTCATCTCTTCCCCAAGGCACAGCAGCATGACACCAGAACAGGTCACCTTCAGCCTCAAAAAGCCAAGACACCCCCGACTCACAGATGGGGAAAAGCAGCAGAGGCACAGCACACAGCTCTGTGCTTTCCCAGGGAGCTGGAAAAGCCCCGTGGGCACAGCTCAGGAAACACGGCCCCTCAGAAGATACAGTCTAGCCTTAGTGCTCCCCAGGGCCAGCAGCTCCAGGCATGGGGCCATGGCCATTTCCATGCCCAGCATCCACCCTCCACCCCCAGGAGGGCTGCGAAGAGCCATCTGAGGTTAGGGACAACCTCAGGGAGTCCCCAGCCCACCCACAAACCCCTTAAACACCCCCCACACCTTACCTGCTGCCTCTGGTCCCAGCACTGACAAGACAGGGAGGGCTGGGTCTTGCCCCACATAAATCCCCCAAGGCCTGATCTGAGGGGACGGAAGCCAATCGGGGTGCTGCAGGTGCTGATCTGGCCAATGAGGAGTGGAAGGCAGAGGGAGGTGTGGGAGGTGTGGGAGGGAGGGAGGTGAGGGGAGTGGTGTGGGGGCCCTTCCACACACCTGATGGCCAT